CCTGACCCTGTTTAAGACACTAGAAAGTGAAAATCCATACCCTGTTCAAGACAAATCGGAAAAATACGCCGCAATCATCAAAAGTGCAATTATACTGACATCCATCAAAGACAATAAGAAGTTTTTGATAACACGTTAATCCTGGGACAGTGAAACGGTATTTCTACTATTTCTACAGTATTTCTTATGAAAATATTACCCTGTCCAATACCCCCCAAAAAATATATCGGTCTTCTATCTAAATTGTTGAGCCTGTTTAAGACAATTTCGGTTGAAATGTATACCCTGTTTAATTAAGACAGCAAGGCCAAAAACCATACCCTGGCCAGCGGCACGTCCCGTATATATGCAAATATATGGGAGTTATGGGGGGTTATAATACTAATTAACTAATAAGCTAGTTTAAAAGTTTGTTTCAAAATAGTTACGAGAATTCTTTGTACTAACCCATACAATATCAACTCAACACAAGATTGGCAAAATCGGTAGATAATGGATTTTCAAATTGGCGGCTTTGATTGCATATTTATTAACCGGAAAGGTCGTTTCAAAACTGGCCTTTCCTCTCAAGATGCTGAAAAAGCCAATTTTAGTTAGACAATCTTTATCTTGATTACTTTGGGGAATACATCGCAATGCCAAGATGAGGCCACAGAAAAAAAGAATAGTCGAGTTTCGCGATCTCTTTTACGCTGTGTTAGCCTCAATTGTGTGCTAAAATATTCAGAAATGTAGATAAAACTCGTGAGATTTCAAACTATTTCCATTGTCTTCTATACTCACAGATCTCTTGCATTTACACGGGCTGTTGTGAATAAAAGAATTTATTACATGGTTTTGAGACTAACACAGCGTAAAAGAGATCGCTAAAAGGGTTTATTGTGTATTGGGCCGATCAAGTCACACTTTCTCTCCTTCTCCCCACCATGCAAAAGATAATAAATTCTATCAGTGATTGTAAATGGAGAGATTTGCCTGTAACAGGCTAATGCCACAGCTGCACAACAAGATTGATCCCCTTAAATTTAAATGGAACAGCCACGTCAAACACATTACCAAGAAGGCTTGTAAGAAACTGTATGTGCTTAGAGTTTTACGTAGAGCCGGAGTCATTTAAGCTAACATACTAAAGATCTACTTAAGCACAGTGCGACCTGTCTTAGAGTACACTGTCCCCGTGTGGCAGGCTATTCCAGACTACCTCTCTGTAACTATAGAGCAGATACAAAAAAGAGCGCTTTGCATCTACCCTGAGGCCGAATCTTATACACACGCCCTACAACTGGCTCAATTAGATCGACTGGAAATTAGAAGAGACTATTTATGCACTATGTATATGAATCAAATGAAGTCTACACAACATCCCATACAACGTCCTTATGTGAGATGATG